CAAAAAGATGAGGCCGATGGCAAAGTGGGCGATCTCCAGAAGGAACTGGAGGGCGAGCGCGCCAAGGCAGTAGAGGAGAAGGGGAGGCTTCAAAAGGAGTTGGAAACAGAGAGAGCGCAGGCGACGCCAGAGAAGGAGAGCCTGAAGAAGGAATTGGAGGCGGAAAAGGCAAAGGTTGCGTTGGAAAGGGCGACCCTGCAGAAAGAGCTGGACGAAGAAAGGGCGAAGGCAGCCCCTTTGAATTCGGCAGACCTTCTCTAACTTCGCAAGCTGGGCCTTGGCCTCATCTGCCTTGAGTTTGGCAGCCCCCACTTTTCTCAACAGAGCCCCTGCTAAGGTGGTTACCTCCATTTGGGCGGAGCATAACCCCCTCAGTAGTTCAATCTCGTTGAATCTGGATGCCGAGCGCAGGGCTGCCTTTTCTACGATCCTTACCAGGCGGTCTGCCGCTGCCCTAGCTGGGCCTTCTTCTCCCTCCAACCGCCCAGCCACCACGCGACTGCGGTATCAACCGCTATTTGAAATTCGGCAGACCCTTTGAATTACTCCACTGCTGCGACGCACAGATCGGGATAAGCCGCCCTTTCAGAGGCTGCCTTCGCCCTCTCTTCGTCCAGCTCTTTTTGCAGGGTCGCCCTTTCTGACGCAACCTTTGCCTTTTCCATCTCTAATTCCTTCTTCAGGCTCTCCTTCTTCGTCGTCGCCTGTGCTCTCTCTGTTTCCAACTCCTTCTGAAGCCTCCTCTTCTCCTCTACTGCCTTGGCGCGCTCGCCCTCCAGTTCTTTCTGGAGATCGCCCACTTTGCCATCGGCCTCATCTTTTTGCCTGACTAGCTCTTCATTACTGCTCATGGCCTCTTCATGTTGCTCAACCGCGATGGCGCAGGCTCTTTGGGCCTCCTCTAACTTCTTCTGCTTGCCAGCAAGTTAGAACTCGAGCGACACAACCTGACGGCGTGTACTCTCCAGCTCCACCTCAACTGCTTGCAGATCAGCATGGGCAGCTTTCCAACTCGCCCTCTCATTCTCCAACTTCGCAAGCTGGGCCTGGCCTCATCTGCCTTGAGTTTGGCAGCCCCCGCTTTTTTCAATAGAGCCTCTACTAAGGTGGTTACCTCCATTTGGGCGGAGCATAACCCCCTCAGCAGTTCAGCTCATTGAATCTGGATGCCGATCGCAGGGCTGCCTCTTCTACGATCCCCACCAGGCGGTCTGCCCCTGCCCTAGCTGGGCCTTCTTCTCCTTCCAGCCGTCCAGCCACCGCGCGAGTGTAGTAGATCGCTGTGGTCAGACTAACTCCCCCTCCTTGGGGTGTAGGGCCCCCCTGGGGCTGCTCTTCTCTTCTTGAGCCAGGGCCGCTTGCCCCATCTTCTCCTTGCCCTTCAGGGGCGGCCCTCGCGACCCCTGCGGCGATCGCCGCCACCACTGGCACCACCTCCATGCCCTTTAAAGCAACATCCACCGCTTCTGGGCCACCTACCCTTCCTGGGGTCCCTTCCATTTCTCCCCCCTTAGCCCCCTTGGCAGCACTGGTTTCCTTCACACTTGTCTCTCTCCTCCTCTTCTGGGCAAGCACTCCCTCTTCTTCTTTCTTCACACTTGCGGCGATCGTTGCCACCACTGGCACCACCTCAATGCCCTCTAAAGCAACATCCACCGCTTCTGGGCCACCTACCCTTCTTGGGGTCCCCTCTATTTCTCCCCCCTTAGCCCCCTTGGCAGCACTGATTTCCTTCACACTTGTCTCTCTCCTCATCTTCTGGGCAGGCACTCCCTCACTCCGCCTCACCCTCTTCTTCTTCTTCCCCATGCCCAACGCCTCCATCTCCTTCAAAGACCTCTTCTTCAAAGGGTTTGTTGGGGGCGGCCATGGCACAAAATCGCCTAAGTTTTTCTTTCCCAAGGGTTTGGGGCGAGGTCGAATCCTCTCCCTTGCAACCGGTTTTGGTGGTCGGTCGGCCTGGGACTCTTTGAATTTTTGGGCTTTAGCAAGGATGGCCTGATCCTCCGCCTCTTAAGCCCTTCTCCTCGCCTCTAACTCTGCTCGGTTGAGGTCCCCACTACTTAGCTTTGGACCCAACCCTGCCTCAAACAATGCAGACGGCTGAACGAGCTCGTCCCATTTGGCTCATTCTTTCTCCCTCCACTCTTTCACCCTCTTCACCCTCCCCTCCGCGGCTGCTCCCAGTTTCGGCTCTATAGACCTGATGGGTACTTTCCAAATGGTGCGCACTCTAAGCCCCCCATTGGCAGACACGTAGAACCATCGTGGTCGCCACCCCTTGATCGACGACGGCTGCCCTGTCACCAACCCTTTCCCCACTGCTGCCTGCAGAGTGACCCACGTCTCCTGCTGCCCCGAGGCCTTATAACATGCAAAGAATTCGTCTACTGTCATGGCCTCTCCTCCATTCACCTTCGGCCACGCACTTGCACAGGCCAGCAGGATCTTTCATGCATTGGGCATTAGTTGCCCCGATGCTACCTCCAGACGGTTGAGCACATCCACTACCACTTGCGGCAGTGGCAACCTCAGTCCACCCTTGAGAGCTTCCTCATAAAGGGAAAACTCTCCTGGCCTGGGGTCAGACGGCCTTTCCGTTGATGTCGGCAGCAATAACTCCACTTCCACAGGGATCTGGTATTTTTCGCGGATAGCCTCCAACTCCGCCGCAATAATCGTGGATTTGTCAGCCTTCGTGTGCCAATGATCTGGTTCCGCCTGGCTGATTGGCTTTGGAGCTGCTATCATGGTGGAACCACGGGATCGTACCACCGACTCCCCCACCCTCTCTGTCCTATACTGCGTCGCTAGCTCCACTGCATCATCATCACCAAGTGGGTCCACCCTCACACTCATAGCTGCTTCTTGGCCCATTTCTATGGAATGTTTGCGAATCGCTTCTGACGCAGGAGCAAGAAAATTAAAAAACTGTTGCAGAGGTGTATCGTGCGCAACGAAGGAATTAACACTTGGGATGTTTTGAGTTTTCGTAAACAAGTAGGTGAATCGAATGACGCCAAAAGCCCACGATTTGCCTGTATTCCAAGGATTCCAATTAATTTTCGCCAGTTTGAAAACTTTTCAAATCATCTGCCAAAACTGCCTTTACAACACCCATAATGACCTATCGTTTCATTTCTGCTCCAACGCCTAACCTCCCCCCTAACATATTGCCACGTGTATGACCACGATGTACTGTCTACCCCCCTTACCCTGTCTTTTTCACTTCAAATCATCACTTTACAAGCCGCCTCTTGAGCCCTGCGCCCCTCCGTTCGGCCTTCACGCGCGGTCGCCCCTCCTCCCGATCGGCCCCCCGGTTGGCCTTCGTGCACAGTCGCCCCTTTCGCTCGGCCTTCGCGCGTCCCTTTCTCACGATCGGCCCTTCCGCTCGGCCTTCGCGCGGTCAACCCTCCTCACAGTCTTCCTTGCCATTCGGCCTTCGCGCGATCAGCCCTCCCCACGGTCGGACCATCTCACGCTCGGTCCAACAACTCAGCCGCCTATCCCGGTCGGACTCATCTTCCTCATACATATTCCCTTCGTTGGACTGAAGCTGCACTCGGGAATGGGGGACTACTGACATGGACAGGCCCACAAAGGCCATGAACCACTATAAACAACCCAAGCCCATCAATCGGAGCCCAATACATTACCCAGCCGAAGAAGTCCAGAACAGCTGGAATCCAATATGGCATAAGAACCAATGGCATTCAGGCACGTGGTAGGTAAAGGACGAGCCACATCAGCAGACAAAGGTCTGCAAAGTTATTGCCACGACACATCACCATTAATCCAACGCGTCACAGCATTTATTACGACAACACCTCCTGTCGAAACAGGGTCCCCTTACCCTGAACAAGGTAAGCTACAGCATAGACTTTCGGCGAGAAGGGCAGGTCGGAAGAGACAGCGAAATGATTACCAAAGAATATAAGCAAACGTTGAAGACAAGAAGAATGTTTAGCTTTCTATCTCTAATCTCTCCCTCTATACTCTACTTTTCTTCCTAACTTGCTCGTCGAAGGGTTCACTGGAGGACTACCCAATTCCCTGTTGAACTTGTTTGCAGGTTATCCGGTGGGCTCGATCATTTGGGCTTGGGCTTGAGAAGCTTGGACCAGTTCGCTCCATTCACTGGGATAAACTGTATCAACAGTTTGTAAGTTGGTTCATAATCTTGATTGACACCTTCCAATGGGACATTTTTGGCGCTGTGTTGGAAGTTTTGAAGCAAAACCTCATGCTAATCAATGTTTTCAAATAGAGCTCTTTCTACCTCTTTCTCTCTTTTTTCATTTCTGCAATCTTGAAATGGTTAAATTTGCTCCATTTCCGCAATCTTGAATTAGGATTTAGTTTCATATTATTGTTTTAGACATAGAGTATTTGATCATTTATATTGTTTTAGAAATGGAGTACTTGATCACTCATGTAATGGTAGCCCAAAACTGCTTAATTGGCTCTTAGCTAGCAAAAATTCGCAGCACAAAGAATGAGGAAGAGGAAGGAGGGGGACTGGATTTGTGACGATAATGGCAGCGTTGGTGGGTGGAGGGAGGGAGAGGTGGAATGGTGGTGGGTTTGCTAGGTTTTAGAGAGAGAAAGTTGGAGGATGCTGGAGAGCCTTTAAAAATTATTTTTAAAATCATATCTCAAAATACAAAAGGAGTTTTCTTCTTCTTTTTTACTTCATTTTATGCTTAAAAAAAAAAAAAAAAAACAACAGAATTTGAAAGCCAAATGCTATAACTTAAAAAAAAGTAATAAAAAAAAATTGTGACGGCATTGAAATTTTTGTTTATAAATATAACATAAACCTCCAAATTCCAAAAAAACAAAAAGACCACTGTGCCCTTCACTAGTCAAAAAAAGCCTTATCCTAGAAGAACTTCTGGAGAAGTCCAGAAACTGAAAGAAACACCTCCACCATTTTCCAGCATCTTCTTTCCAGAAATGTCCACTCTTCTCTTTAAATATCATTCAACCCCCTCATCTTCTTCCTCAGAATCCACACAAAGTTTCAATCTTTTTGCTTCCATTACCAAAGAAAACAGAAACAAAAAATGTCTCTCTATCTTTCAAACCTCACAATCTCTCTCCCCATATCATCCCAAAAAACCAGTACCAATTCCAAGCTCTTATGTCCCAAAACCCCCAATTTTTTGAACCCAATGGGTAGTTTTATTAACAGAGGTTGTAGCAATGGCATTAAGGCTATGGCTGGAGATGGGAGGGACAGTCTTGACCATTTGCAGAGAGCAAACAAGAGCCAACAACAATCTCAACCACCCAAGAAAAGAGTTGCCGAAGCTCCTTCCATAGGTAAATATTAATACCCAATTCACAAAAATCACTGAAAAAAAGTATTTTCTTGTTAAATTTGTTTATGTATGCTGACTGATAAATCTGTGTATTTCCAATTCACAAAAATCACTGAAAATAAGTGTTTTCTTTTTAAATTTGTTAATGTATGCTGACTTGGTAAATTTGTGTATTTTTTTAGTATATAGTGGTTGATATTTGTAGTATATAGTGGTTAATACAGGTGTTTGTAATTGTACACATCTAAATTTTTAAGCGGTTTAACAAGTGAGAATTGAATTAGAAAATTGTTTAGCACTTAGGGGAAAAAATTGTATTGACTAAAATTGTTTAAACTTAGGGGGGGAATTACATTTTTGATTTTATAGTTTTATTAAAATTTTAGTTTAGTCCTATTTCACTTTCGAACAATTTAAATTATAGACTTCAAATCTAGTTTAATTTGTTTTTTCTATTGAAATTATAGTCAAAATTTTCTACATAATTAACATGTTTTCAAAAATCTTAAATTTTAACTATTAACTTAGATGAAATAGTGAAATTGAAACTGAATTAAAAATATAAAGTCCATCATTATTTAAATTGAAATTATAGTGATTGAAGTACATCTAAGTAAAATTATAATAGTGAAAAGTATAATTTATCTAAACGAAACTGTAGTGATTAAAATACATTGAAGCAACACTATAATGGTAAAAAGTATAATTTTATTATTTAATTATTGGGAATGCATTAATATCTATATAGTGTAGTTTTGACCCTTCATTATATGCAGGGTTGTGGGATAGATTTCCAACAGCAAGGACAGTGCAACAAATGATGGAAACCATGGAGAGGATGATGGAAGACCCTTTTGTCTACACCAGCGGGTGGCCGTCGCCGACATTAACCGAGACCGGCGGGTACAGCAGGGGAAGGACTCCATGGGAGATAAAGGAAGTAAAGGGGGAGTACAAGATGAGATTTGACATGCCCGGTATGACCAAAGATGATGTGAAGGTCTATGTTGAAGAGAAAATGTTGGTTGTCAAGGCTGAGAAAATGCCCAAGGACAGAAATGGCCAAGAAAGTGAGGTAGAAAATGAAGAGTGGTCTGCAAAGAGCTATGGTAAGTATAATAGTAGAGTTGCTCTGCCTGAGAATGTTGAGTTTGAGAAGATTAAAGCTGAAATTAAAGATGGGGTTTTGTATATAACTATACCTAAAGCTAGTGGCACTTCCAAGGTTTTGGACATTAATGTTCAATGAGTAGATGAATGTATAATCAATCATTAGGGTTAATTTAGTGGTTAGATTTCCATGTTAGTGAGTTTAATTTTTCCTCTCCTCCAATATAGTGAAAAAGAGTGTAGTCTTTTCAATTAAGTATTTTGTTCTCTTTAAATATTTTGTGTTGGTTTCATTTTTATTTTGTTTTTCTAATTTTGTTTCTCATTGATTGTGTGGGATTTCATGTCTTATTTTATAAAGAGTCCATGAAATTAACATTTTCAATGTATGAATGCATACAATTTTTTTTTTTTTTCAAATTTTGTGCAACTATTTTATATTATGCCTCATGGAATGTTCTGTTTTCATTGTCATTACTTATATTTTTACTCAAGTTGAGTAGAAAGTTTCATATTCAATGAATAAACTTAAATGTGAGTAGGGGATGTTTGGGGTATTTTAAATAAGTGTATTTTTTGTTTTTTTAGACTAAAAAGTTGAGGAAAAAAATATGGATGTTTAGGTTAGTTTTTTGATTTTTTATTAAAAAATGTGTATTAAAAAATTATATAAATTAGTGTGTAGGAAAAAATTAGAATTGAGAATTATGCAATCATAATTTTTTATTTTTAGTGAATAGTAATAATTTTTTAATTTTTTGAATAATTTTTTGATTTTTTAAATTTTATGAAAGATGCCAAACTTGGCCTAAAACTGATAGAGTGTTGTAGTTTGAGTGGAAGCTATAAATTAGAGTAAAGCATGATAGTGGAAAGATTGGATAAAAGCGTTATGCAATCATAATTTTTGATTTTTAGTGAATAGTAATATTTTTTTAATTTTTTGAATAATTTTTTGATTTTTTAAATTTTATGAAAGATGCCAAACTTGGCCTAAAACTGATAGAGTGTTGTAGTTTGAGTGGAAGCTATAAATTAGAGTAAAGCATGATAGTGGAAAGATTGGATAAAAGCGTTCAATTTTTTTTAGATTGAGTTGAATAAAAATTTAAGTAATGAGGAAAGAAATTTAAGATATTTTAACCACCAAAGTCTTCAAAAATAGTTTTTAAAATTTTTAATTTGTATTTTTTATAATTTTTTAAATATTTTAATTAATTTTTTGTAAGTTTTAAATTCACTTGATTTTAATATACTTAAAATTAAAAAATATAAACAAAAATCTTTACAAAATTTATTAAATATAACAAAATATAAAAATGTATTAAATTTTTATATTTTTTGTATTTGATAAATTTTTTTATTTTTTTTTATTACAAATATTATATTTTTAAGTATATTTAAATTAGATGTATTTAATAAATAAAAAATTGTGTAAGATATTAAAAAAATATATAAAAAATAAAAATTTTAATTTTTTGAAAAGTGGACTCAAATTTTAATAAGGATGAGAAATGTCCATGTAGTGTTCAACTGGCACAAAATTCGTAGGGTTTATTTGGATTTTTTTTTTTCAAAATTTTCCCTATTTTTTTTTTTTTGGTTCATGTATTCTCAATAAAGAGGTAACAAAGAACAAATCTTGCAACACTGTGTAAGGATTGAAAGTCTAAAAAAAATATTAAAAATAGATCTAATTAAAAAATAGAGAAGTTTATTTTAAAAAAGAGAGTTGCGCTATATTTGTAAGCAAACAATTCTTTCAAAAATTAATCCAAGTTATTCTCAGATCAGAAATTAATTCAAGTTAAAATTAATTTTTTTACAATCCAACGAAAAAACCATGGAACACCCAAAATAAAATTTTAATTAAAACGATATGAATCTCGTGTAAAATTCACACTTAAAAATGTCACACTTAAAAACTGACTTGTAAGGGGAGAATGTTTAACAGACTTGTTTGGGATGACCTAAATAAATGCACTTTTTATTTTTTTACGAAAAGATGTGCAGAAAAGTAGAGAGGTGCTGCGATGAAAAAAAGATAAAAAGATGAATTATTTTGTGTATGTCAAACTTGGCCTTGTAATTATGATTTGGTAGAGCTTTGTATGAGTTGAGAGTAAGATTTGAGAGTATGAATTGTATTTGGTAGAGTTTTGTAATTATGATTTGAGAGGATGAGTTGTATTTTGAGTTTGTGAGCTTTGAAATTATGATTTGAGTGTAGAAAATTTGTTTGGTGAAAGAATTTTAAAAATAGTTTTGAATTGAGTGGGGAATTATTGATGTGACATTTGATAGTTGATACAAAAATTTACAACTTATAACTAAACATACAACTCAAAATTATTTTAAAGCACATAAATTTTTTTTAAAAATTCAAAAATATTTTTTTTGAATATTTAAAAATTAACATATCAATTGCAAAGAAAAAAAAAAAACAATTCACTGTTTCGGTCAACCGGCCGGACGACCGGTTAGGCCAATTTTTGAAAAAAAAATTGAAAATCACGCTCTGTTTGACAGAGTTTTCTGCAAAGTTGTGAAAAATTAATTCTACAACTCTGTCCAAACACCATATGCGAACTCAATGGTAAAAAACGAATTTGAGAATCGTTCCAAACAGAGCCTTAATTCTCGTTTGGGAAGTGTTTATTTTAATTTAAGTTAAAAAATTATTAAAAGATTAATAAATTATACAAAAAAATTAAATATTTTTTTTTCTAAAATAAAAAAATATCACAAATATATTATTTTTTTTACCTCATATTTTAACCAAAAAAAATCAAAAATTACTAAAATAACATATTTACAAACGAGATCTTATATGCATAGGTGATTATTCGGTAGTCCGGAAGTACTATCACGTGGCATTTTATGGTAGTATAATTCGTAAAAAATGTGAAATATTGATTATTTGTATTATGGTAGTATTGTTGGTAGAAAATGTGAAATATTAATTTTTTGTATTGAATAATTGAAGAACATAAAAGAGTATAGTAAATAATGATTGGTAAAGGAATATAATTACGTGATACTTTAAAACTATTATATGATTTTCCTATGGGACACTGACAAAATGTTAACCAATTTGAGATTGTAACGGTAATAAAAAATCCCATCCAAGAAAAATTATTTGGTTTCTTTGCATTCTAAATTCAAAATCTCCAAACAAAATTTTAAGAATTTTAAAATCAAGTTGAAACTGATCAAATAAATTCTCACAAATCCTAATCTAAAGAAAATACATCAAAATCAAACTAATTTAAGAGTAATTAATAAACAAAAAAATCAATAAGTATGCTATGTACAAAAATGTTTTCACCAACTCCTCCCCCAATTTTTAAACTATTAATCAATTGATCTATTTTTTAAAACAAAACCATCGTGAACGTGAAGGCAAACTAGTACGACTAGGCTATGAGAAGTGCTGTACAAGGAAAAGAACGGGAAAAGGAATCTATCTATCTATACTACATATATATTATATAAGAAGCCTTCAAAATGTCATTTTAAAATTTTCATAAATTTAAAAAATACGTAGCAATTCTCTTTTGAGTTTATAGTTTTTTTTCTTCTCTCTCAAAGACTTTCATAACAATAAAAACTCCTACTCTTCCAACTTTTTCCTCTACTCTACGTTTCCCCTACTCTCAAAGACTTTCACTCCCACTCTCCCACTATCCACAACTCCTATCCGTAAAAAGCTGTCAAAAAACAAAAAAAAACAAAACCTATCCATAAAAAGTTGTTACTCTCCCACCTCAAACAAATCTTTCCTACCCTCAAACACTTTCAGTCATACTCTCTCACTATGCTACAATAGATAGATATAAAAAAAGAAAAAAAAAAAAAAAAAAAAAAAAAAACCACCCATCTATCCATATCTCCTTAAACCATTACTTCTAACAATCCACTACTATAAATGCATATACTTCATCAACTTCCTTCATCAGCAGTGAACGTCAGCAGTTCGCAGTTCGCCATCAAATGCAAGACTCGATTTTTTTTTTTTTTCTCTTTTGCTTTAATAATTTATTTTTTGTTCTAAGCATTTGAGATTTTTTGTTTTGACTACAAAGATTGCAGAAAATTGTAATGTCCATGTCTCTGTTTTTTTTTTTTTTTCTTTTGCTCTAATAATTTGTAGCATATTGTGTCATTGAGGATATTTCTAGAGTGTTTGTTCCACCAATTTTGAATTTTTATTGAAGACTTAATAGGATATAGGATATATATAACCCAATCTTCTCTCCGGTTCTATATCTCTCTCCCTCATCTCCATTGAAGAATCCTATAAACACAAATCTCTCTTCTCTGCCCCACTCCCTAGAGCTTAATTACGTGCACATGGCTATTGTTTATGAGGGCAACAAACATGTCTCTGTTTCTCTTTTTCTTATGCTTTGAAAATTGTAATGTTCATGCCTTTGTTTTTCTTTTTCTTTTGCTCTAATAATTTATTTTTTTTCCAACCATTTGTGATTTTTATTTTCATTATAAAGATTACAGAAAACGCAAGTGTAATTTACCCATAACTTTACGTGCAAACATAGGCAAATCAGTCTAACAAATCCAGCTGCACTTACGGTTCAAAAATTACAAGCTTAGAATAACATGCACATGGGCTGCTGAAGTTACAGATTTTGAAACCACAAATCTTTTAAGTTTTAAGAGAATTTCAACCCAAACAACTTTCAAGCCCAATTCTGCAGATTCATTATGTTTCTTCTCATTAATAGTGTATTTTTATTATTGAAATACCTTGAATACACTTGCACAATGACACATTTTTGTATTTATTGAGAAAAGTATGGGTTTGATTTGCATTAGGAATTTAAATAGCGTTTATATTTTTGGCAGATTGTAATTTAAATCATGTTCATATAAATTCTTTTGGTTGTAGTATTGTTCTTCTTTTCTTTTCTTTTCTTTTTTTTTATTATTATTTTTTATTTACATATCTTACTTTGAGATATGGTAGGAAATGGTTTATAACGGCATAACTGTGGATGGTACTATGAGTGTTCCAATCAAAATTTAATCTTTCATGTGTTTATTTTGTGTTACAAAATCCAAAATATATATGTACATACTTGGTTTGAAAATCGAAAATATTATGTTTTGAAATGAAAATTCTACCATATTAGACATGATTTCAATTCTTTTGTTTTTCTTTATAGTTTTTAATTTAAGATTAAAATTTAACTATTTTCATTACTTCTTTAATTTCTTAGATTGCAAGAATCTATTAAATTTAATACTATATTTTGTTTATGATTTTAGTGGATAAATAATTCAATAAAAATAAAGTTTAAGATGGTTAAAAGTATATTTTGATAGGTATTTGTAGTGTTCCACCAATAAGATAATTTGGCCCTGTTTGGTAGAGCTGTGAGAAAGTGCTTATAGCTTATGCCTAAACAGCTTATAGTTTATAATTATGAACATAAGCTGATTTATGACTTCCAAAACTATAAGTTATAAGCTAAACCAAACACATCAAAATAGCTTAAATTAAGCTGAAAGCTGAAATAAGCAGCTTTTAAGCTGCACCAAACAGGCACAATGCAAGTTTACCATTATATTAACAATACATGTTAGTTTTATTTTTATTTTATGTTATGAAAAATAAAATCAATAATTTTACACATAATACAACTAAATTTATTTTGGGTGGAGTAAGGGGAAATTAATTAATTTTATGTATATTATAAAATCATAACAGGTATTAATTTATTTGTGCGTTAAACTCATAATTTTTTAATTCTTTTTTTATAATTTTACACAACTTTTAAATTTACAAATAATACTCTATTTTGTTTAGAGTTTTCAAAAACAATTTTTTGAGTTTTCAATTCTTATTTTTATATTTTTAGTGATTTTTTAAATATTTTTATTTTTTAGATTCACTTAATCTTGATATACTTAAAAGGTATAAAATTTGTACAAAAATCTTTAAAAGATTTATTGAATACAACAAAATACGAAAATGTATTGAATTTTCTTATTTTTGATTTTTTTTTTTGTATTTGGTGAATTTTTTTATAAAAAAAATTATATAAATATTTTACTCTTTAAATGTATCTAGATTAGGTATATCTAGAAAAATTTTAAAAACTACGTAAAATATTAAAAAAATTACTAAAAAATAAAAACTTAAATTTCTAAAAAGTGAGTTAAATCAAAAGTTTTATATAAGAGAAACAAAATGATTAAAAAAAAATGCGTATAATATATAGACAAAAAATATTTATCCCGTGCATAGCACGGGGTGAGCGCTAGAGAACAAGAAAAGGAATGAAGAGAATAAATAAGAAGAGAATAAGGCAATGTTTGAACCTACCTAATAAGGAGAGTTTATAATCCAAACAGTGATACTAGAGACCTCTAGATCACGTTTGTTTTGGGTTAAATAGATGGGAGGGGATTAGGATGGTGGAGGTGTTATTTAATGTTGTATTTGTTTGTAGAATTGGGGAAGAGATTAGGATGGTGGAGGTGATATAGATGGAGGTTGGGGAGGGGATTAAGATGGAGGTTAGGGAGATGGTATTAGAAAAATAGTGAGGGGATTAGAAATTATTTTATTTTTTTTATTTGTTATATATTGAGAATTTTTTATGAATATTAATGTTTAATTTTTTATATTTTTTTATTTGTTTTATTATTTTATATAAAAATAATTTAACAATTCCTACACTAACAATTATCATTAAAAAAATATAATTTTACTTAACCTTCTCACTATTAATTTATTCACTATGAATCACTTTCATTTTACTTTTAAAAGCAAACGAGACTCTAAATTAGATACTCTAAACACATCGGTGGATAAGGTAAAAAAAAAAAAAAAAAAACAGGTCAGCGCTAACAGTGACAGTGGGGGAAAATTATTCAATATTCCTGGAGCACCACATGTCCATACTCTAAATCAATCATCAATTAGTTAGTCTCATGTTGTTCCTCCATCTCCAACATAAATCGTGGGCTCTTGTGTCTCTCCACCAAACAAAACATTATGGAGCACCACGTGTCCATACTTCAGGAAGTACTGAATAACCATCCGACAGTGGGACATCACTAGTGTAACTCTAATTAGAGGCGGCAAACATTTTTACTAATCCAAATATGGAATACAAAAATAATATATGTATCATATACAAAGAAGATCGGAGTGAAAGAAAGAGGATTCAGGGAATCATCAGGGTAGGTTTCTTTGAGTTTCTCTCTCTTCACTGCAAAGACAGAAATGGGTGAATCGCCAACTTGTCTTGCTCGATCCTCCTCTCAATCTGCTGGCACTACTTCCACTGAACCCAAAGACGTTTGTCCGAAAAACACAATCTTCTTCATTTTCACAGAAAACCCTAGTGGGTTGGATTTTTCTGACATGGGATTGCTATTTCTTTGTCGTTTTTTTTTATTCTTTTGACAATACTTTATTTGTTACTGTTCTCAGTATTTGGTTTTTCATTTGAGTTCTTGTTTTGTCCCTTTTGCTAGTTATAGTTTCTTCTTCTTCTTCTTCTTCTTGTGCTCCTTTCTTTACTAATAACTGCAATCATCAACCAATTGAATGGGAATTTCATGTAATGCTTAGTCAATGTTGTTAGGGCAAATTAAACCCGTAGTCTTGTAGTTTGTTTCTTGTGTCAATTTCGTTCTTATAGATTTTTCTAATTTGATCAATTCTACCCTTGAATTTTTCACATTTTGTGTCAGTTTAGCGTAATTGATAATGCCCATTTAGAAATTGAACTGAAATCAAAGGGCAAAATAGTCTATTTCAAAGTGATTGATGGATTAAAATGATCAATTCCCTTTTTAAATGTACCATTTTCTCTTTGATTTTCGTCTAATTTCTTAGCAGATGTTTATCAATTGAACTAAATTTACACAATGTGAAAGGTTAAGAGGCAAAATTAATACAATGGGAACTACAATGACTAAATTGACTAAAGAGTCAAATTATAGACACAACTGGTATAATTTGCCCATGTTTTATTAGAACTGAAATCAAAGGGCAACATAGTCTATTTCAAAGTGATTGATGGATTAAAATGATCAATTCCCTTTTTAAATGTACCATTTTCTCTTTCATTTTCGTCTAATTTCTTAGCAGATGTTTATCAATTGAGCTAAATTTACACAATGTGAAAGGTAAAGAGGCAAAATTAATACAATGGGAACTACAATGACTAAATTGACGAAAGAGTCAAATTATAGAGACAATTGGTATAATTTGCCCATGTTTTATTAGAATCACAAAATAATAGGGTACCTTGTTAAAATGTTTCTCATCACATGTGTTCTTGAAGTGGATTATATTTGGAGTTGGGTGTGTATGTCTTTGCAATTCTATTTAAAATATATTAGTGGATACATGTGTAAGCTTTGATGATTTTACTAATAAACACTTGAAAGAATCTCATTACAGGGAGATCCTTATTGTGCCCTAACAACATCAATCTCAGTTCGGAGGTTCATGTTGGAATCATTGGCGTGGGAAAAATGGCCATGTTTCTCTAACAATCGGTTCTTGGAAGAAGCTAAGAAATCTTCTAAGCTAGGTTTAGCTGCCCAGAGGAAAGCTTATTTCGAAGCCCTTTACAAGAGAAATGCTGCTAAGAAAGCTGGAGACAGCTCAAATCCAGCGAGTAATGACTTGTCTGAACCAAATGTTATGGAAGAGACAGCTCAAACCCTCCAGGAATTCCAACTAGGGTGCTTACTTTACTTCCTTGCCTTCACCTCATTCACCTTGTTTGCTGCTTTGTGCATGTGCAATAGTGTGCTAGTGCACACTGCATACAAAGTAGTTTATTTAAACTATCTGTAACACATAGCTGAGATAACGTTTTTGGTTTTTGGTAAACTGCAGGCATCAGTGAATGGGTTATCAGTGCATTCTTCAGCAACTCCTCAAGAAGAAAGAAGAAGGTTGTTTGTTTGCATAACCCTTTAAAATTGTGCCATTTTTCTATGTGTATGTATATTCGTCTTCTTTCACTAAAATGTTTAATTTCATGGTTTACAGAAGTAGAGCAGTGGATGATTGCTTAGTTTCTGGAAGGAGGATAGCAGATGGGAAATCAGATGGGATAGAGTAAGATCTTAGTTTGTCTATGTTGTGGATTGTGGAGTTCTCATTAGATGCTCATATGACTATCTGCTGAGTGTAAAGATTTTGTATTGCATACTAGGAACAATAGCTCCAAGAAAGTTCCAAAAGTCTTGCTAGTAACATACAGAAGGCAGCATAACAGAAAGTGTAAGGGAAGCTGCTTCATTTTGGATAGATAGTTTGTGGGTTCGACCATGAGAGTAGCCACTTTGTGCAAATAATGTTAGGTTTGTGTCCAATCTACCCTCCTAGACCCCAATCCTATGGGCGCTAAACTAGGAGTACTTTATTATTATTATTATTACTTTTTTTAGTTTGCATCCACGTCTTATCAATAGCTTGTGCCAGAAACACAATACTAGCAAGACTTTTGGAACTTTCTTGGAGCTATTGTTCCTAGTATGCAATACAAAATCTTTACACTCAGTAGATAGTGATATGAGCATCTAATGAGAACTCCACAATCCACAACATAGACAAACTAAGATCTTACTCTATCCCATGTGATTTCCCATCTGCTATCCTCCTTCCAGAAACTAAGATCTTGGCATTTGTCTTCTCTTCTAGCTTCTGAAAGAACTGAAATAGCAAATGATAAAAAGACAGCAAAAAACATCAGCATAACAATAAATGAGTAAAACTGCAGATATATATGAAGTGAATGGATCTGGACTTGCCTCTTTACGTTTTGCCGCTCTTTCTTCACACCTCAAGCTAAAAGAGGAGGGTACTATGGGAGGTCGTGCTTTGGGTCCAGATACACCTGAGGTCTTCAAATGGCTGCATAGTGTTAAATAAAATTTAGAATTCTTGCATAACATCGTTAAAGTAATTGTGTTGCACGAAATTTTGTTTAGGTTTTCTCACATGTGATGAGGAAAAGTGATACTTGAATTGCAAAATTGGTTCCTACAAATTAATAGGAACCAATTTTGCAATTCAAGTATCACTTTCCCTTATCACATGTGAGAAAAACAAAATTTCGTGCAACACAATTACTCTAACGATGTTATGCAAGAATTCTAAATTTTATTTAAGACTATGTAGCCATTTGAAGACCTCAGGTGTATCTGGACCCAAAGCACGACCTCCCATAGACTAGTACCCTCCTCTTTTAGCTTGAGGTGTGAAGAAAGAGCAGCAAAACGTAAAGAGGCAAGTCCAGATCCATTCACTCCATATATATCTGCAATTTTACTCATTTATTGCTATGTTGATGTTTTTTGTTGTCTTTTTATCATTTGCTGTTGCAATTCTTTCAGAAGCTAGAAGAGAAGACAAATGCCAAGGGGGCAGATAAAGTGCATCTCCAAGCAAAAAAAATAAGGTCATCTCTTGACCTATATTTTAATGCTGATCGGATTAATTGATTGAATTTTTTTTTTTTTTTTTTGACACAAGCAATGCAAATGAAATGCATACCTCTCACAGACCTAAAGAACTAACAAGAGCAAGTGCCTAAATGTCTTGGTCTGGTTTCAAAGTAATTCATGGACGAAATAATTGAGAAACACATAGCCTCAGTTGATCTGAAGTTGTTGGGTTCAATAATATCTCCTTTGAACAAAGAGCAGTTACATTTTCTTGTTTAAGTGTTTTAAAACAGTTAAACAGTTGCCTTGTATTGTTGTCATGCAGGAGAAAGCTGACGACGGCTTCAAAAAAATTATCAGAGTACTGCTTTCAGGGCTAAGTCAATTGTAAATTCTAATCCTGAAACAAAATCACCAAGTAATTGCATGAAGAAGGTATGTCCATCAATCTTGTTTTAATATGATGCTAGCTGTTCTTGCTAATATATGATGTAAAGCCCCTAAGATGGGATTGGATTATCTGTGCAGTAAATGCATGTGATAATGATTTGGAAACATTCTGCTCTATGTTTAAATACTTGATGTCAAGAAAGATGAACTCAAGTTTGGTATGTTTGGTGGAGCTATTTAGGGTGTTTTTCAAATTGTGCAAACAAATGTGGGATAAATGGATCCCACAGATAACTAATCCAATCCGTTCTTTTATCCAGCAACCAAACGTGCCATTAGTGTACAAAAATTTCTACTATCCCAAGTTTCTCTTACACCTTTTGGGTGTCATAGGGGTTCAATTTCTGTTAAACATTTCTCATGAATTCTTAAAACTATTTGCTTTTCTCTTGTACCTTCCCTGCCAGCACCGAACCCATCAATGTAAATTCTTTGTTGCAGATCTCACTGACACAGCCCCCATCACCAAAACTTGGACGGAAGACAATTCCCGGCATGGTTCAGGATACTGGTTCCCGACCTCCTAGGAGGCCTTCAGTCAAGATTTTGCCCTCCTCCAAGGATGTTACAGAAAAGAGTATTCAAAATTCAATTCATTCTATCAATTCACTGCTGAGGAAGAATATGCGTGAAAACACTTCCCCAAATATCCAATTTTGAGTGGTGGAGCCAGAGGATTGATTGCCTTTCCAAGCTTACACATATAGAACACTACTAAAGGATTGATTGCCTTTCCAAGAATTTAGAAGAGAACCAATACAAAATTCCACATCTACTAAAGGTTGAAAGCAACCATCAAGACAAATTAGGCATGTCCCACTTCTATTTTCTACCATTTGGATCCATTATGTTCTTTTGGGTACATACACCGCTGATTCCTCTAGTTTGAATAAAATTTTAGTTTGGTTCTCGCAGTGTCAATTCATTAATTTAAACTATACACTTTAAATTTCCTTTTTATGTGAGTTATCCATCAATTCCCGTTAACATTTTGGATGGAAAAACAAGTGTGAAATTAGAAGGATCAAAGTAGAATTTGAAAAAAAATTACAGGCACCATTGATGTAATTTATTTGTTTTTCTTTCTTGTGCATGAATTGTTAAAAATTCTCATGAGCCTTTTTCTGTTCAAAATGCTAACGACAATTGACAAGGGACTACATTGAAATGTAATTGAAAGTGAAATTTAAATTGATGAAGTTACAACTAAAGATCTAAAGTGAAATTTCACAAATTAGAAGGATAAATAGCGTAATTCATCTTCTTCTTTTTTATTTATTTATCACAAACCGAAGTCCAAAGCGGTATTTTTTGTGTCTTCTTTTTACCATATACTTACGGGAAGAGATGGGGTGCCGTTCTCATGGAAGAGTGTTTGGGTGGTGGGTTGTCTGTCCAAAGTTGCTTTCTTTGTGTGGGTAGCAACATTAGGGTGTATTTTGACGATTGATAATTGGTGTTGCATGTGTTGTGGGGATGCTGAGATGGTGGATCACTTGCTTATTTGCTATCCGGTTACTTCACGTCTTTGAATGTTTATTGTTGCTATCTTTGGTTTGGTTTGGGTTCAACCAGGGACAGTGAGGGCGGTGTTACAAAGTTGGGCTAGTGGAAGGGTTGGAAAGAGACGTCGGAAGGCATGGAAGATGGCTGGCTATTGTCTAATGTGGCTAGTTTGGTTGGAGTGTAATAGGCAAGTTTTTTTAGGAGAGGTGTGTTTAGTGGCATGGTTGGAGCGGCGTTTGTTCATTGTGCTACATAGTTGGATATCATTGACAGTAGACCCGGATGTTTTGACTTTTGTTGATTTTGTAGAGGATTTGATTTAGTAGCTATTTTGTTTGTTTTTGTCTTGCTGTTTAGTGTTGTTTTGGTTTATGTTTGTTGATAGCTGTTAGGTTTGTTTTTATATTCCTTACATCGTCTTGATATTTTTTCAATAAAGTTTGCTTATTTATCCAAAAAAAATTCATCTTTTTCTTTTCTTTTTCTCTCTTTATGGTTTGGGGAGGGTTGGGGATGGAATTTGTAGGGGGTGGATTGGGGCTAAATTCTTGACTTTGCAACACAAGTTAAAGCTCCTCCTAAACATCTTATGGCATAATAGGACTCATCATTTAGTTGAACACCTCAAAAATTTTGTTTGCACTTTCCACCTTTTACTTTTTACTGTCCAAGGTTTGTCAAGTAGAATTAGCAGGGACCAAAAAGCAATATTCATGTAATTCAAAGTAGAAAAATCAGCTGTCTTAACATACACTTCTGCTCAATTACTTTGCAACTAACAAACTTCTTTTTTACAAAATTTTCAAGGATTGTTATGTGCACACATACATACATACATACATACATAAATACAGAGATATAACACACAATACTGATGTCTCATCTATTCTAAAATTACTCCAAGAAGCTTGCTAATTGTGCTTAATATTTTCCATAAACCTATTTCATGTTTTTCGACATCAATTGCCCAAATTGATAGTGAATATCATATATCAGTTCAATGGAAGAAAGATGAAGATGTCTAACAAGCAAAAGCTCCAATGGATCAATCAGACAATAAATAGGCCTTGATCTATGACAGGATATTCCACCGATTCACTAGAATACTCATATTCAAACCTCTGTGCATCATACAAGAATGCCGGAGTTTCAGCAAAGAGCTCTGTGCAGTTGTGATTAAAAGATTCATTGTCCTCAAGTCCAACATTTGTTGTATAACGGTCACCTGGAAGCAAACAAGTGAGAAAATCCTCATCCGAAGATGCAAAACCTACACTTCTTCCCAAAACTAGGTTTCTTTGGTTGGGTTCCAGATCATTTGTGAAAATCTGGCTTAACCCATTATTCTTCATGCTCGATGCAGTACTGAGAATTGGCTCAGAAGCATGAAAACTTGCCAGGTGGCTCTCAGATTGAACAGGACACAAGTTAGTTGCACTTCCTATTGGAGCTACTTGTCTTATTTGCGGGCTTCTGCAATTGGCATGGGAAGTCTTCATTTCAATGCATGCTGGTTTCTTACTCTCTTTGTTGAAAGGTCTGGGACTAACCGATGGTGCAGGTTGAAGGCAATCAACCTGGACATGATGCTGGAGACCAGGTAGTGAGAGACGATTGAAGCCATTCCCTAACTGATGACGTGGCTTATGTTCTTGTTTGAATTGAATTTCTGAAACTTCACTCCAAGAGTACTGTTTTGGGACGGTTGAATCATACATTGTATACTTCACATCTGGCTCCAGTGATCCAAACGAATGATTGAGGCCCATCTTTGAACCACTGGTCTTTGGAAGATTGGGAATATCATGAACCGGACCTTTCTTGGGTTCTGCCATTGGCAATGAAACAATACCTTTCAGATCACCTTCGTGGATTTTGGGATCGACATTCTGGACAAGAGTCTTATTGCTAGATATTCCATAGATCCCACTAGCAGCATCACTTTGTTGCCTATTGATCGAATTCTGAAGGCCAAGACTTGCAGCAGTGTCTCTTGAAGATGAATCCGATTGCTTTACCCCACCAAACGAAGCCTTTAGCTCGTTTTCCTTCTGTAACCTACTCAAGTAGAGGCGGTACTTCTGTACAATGAAAATATATCTCTGTCAAATTTCCAGTGAGTATTGAATATATGACATATTTCCCTTCAATCTTCAGAGCTATCATACAAACACATGTGCTTAATTTTAATTTTAATGGAAGAAGATATCATTCACAGAATGAGTGCAGTCTATCATAGATGGTGAGCGTAGTAGTAGAATCTACTTAAGAAAGGCACAAGTAGAATTAGGAAGACATTTATATAAAAATGAGAACCCATACTATCAGATAATTAGGATGAAACACAAAAACTACTATCCAAAGACAACCAATGTAAAAAGCTAACCAACAAAACGTAAACAGGTTCTTAAACCCACTCCCCAACAGCACTCAAAACCCGCTACAACCCTAATCACGAATATCAAAATATATGAAACAAACCAATGCGATTTTCAATATACATATATTTTCATCGCTAACACCTCCCCATATCAATAGTTAATTCCAGCTAATATCTGAGCAAGAGTTACGAGTATCACCTGCAAGTGGCTAGCAACATTTTCTCTTGTCAACCATGGTACGTTCATCAAGTCAAGAATTTTTTTAGGACCAACTTCTGCCAAACAAAAATGAAAATCATCAGCTTCTAGAACACAACAGCCGAATAACAGAAAACCAATTCGAGTACAAACAGCTGTAACTACAGAGTTGCACCTAGGAGGTCAAGGGTTCGAATTCCCTCCACCTGCGTGTGGGTTTTCTCTCCCACTTAGTTGTAACAATTTACCAAAAACAAAAAGAAAGACAAAAAAAAAAAAAAAAAAAAAATCAGAAGGACTTCTGATTCCCACTTTAAAGGAAAGGTCATAATAAACTCACTATCGAATCCAATCTGATTTACAGCTTTGACAAATTTCTGATGCAGATCTACAGTCCAAACTACTCTAGCTTTCTTCACTGAAGAAGGATCAACACAGTCTCTGTCGTCATGCCTGTTTTCAGCATCTTTTCTTTTCTTTCCTGAAGTCAGGTCGCCTCCACCGAACAACTGCCCATCATCAGATTGGTCTGATCCATGTCTCATCATCTGAGTTTCTTCATAGCCTTCATGACCTTCAATATCTCTTACTTCATGTATCCTCTTTCTAAAGACATGTTGCCATATATTACGTAGTTCTTTCATTCTTATAGGCTTGAGAAGATAATCGCATGCCCCATGTTGGACACCTCTCATTACTCTGCTTGTTTCCCCATCAACGGACATCACTGCAAAGATTAAGAATGTAAAAGCGTTAGAAATAAAAGTTTCAATGGACGTGAATGGAAGAGAACAAGAAAATCTAGCAATCACAACAAAGCTTCAAATATTAATCATAGGTACTGACTGATGACAGGAAGATCCATCTCAAGACCAACATGCTCAAGAAGCTTGAACCCATCCATGTCAGGCATGTTGACATCACTGATTACGATGTCAAATCCATCTTTTCTTTCACGAAGTAAGTCCAAAGCCTCTCTTGCCAGACAACATGTAGTCACTGAAACACAAAAAAGCATCACAGAAAAATTATACAATGTCAGCATGTACAGACATTAAGCATTTTCATCACCAAAGAAATGATGAAAGAAGAATGAAAGAAAGAAAGATGTCCGGTCAATAAAGATCATTCGCTGAACAAAATGAAATATGTGGAGGACATGGGAAGTAAATCCACATCTTTTGAGATCAAGGATGCTTTAGTGTTCATCCACGATCAAGCATTTCCGCACCAAAGAAAGGCTGTGATATTTTGATCGATATGTTAGATGCTCTGCCCAGCTCCCACCAGGAAATATAGTCCAATATGGCCCAGCCCAACAGTCGGTGTCCCTTTGGGCTCCAACCCAAAAGGCACCTCCAAGTTAGAAGTGCCATGTGCCTTCTTATACATCCATCTTGGACATCGTCTGCAGCTGATGCGTGCGAACACATAAGGACATAGAGTGATACGGTTGTCTCTAACACCATTTGATGCATATCTCAACTGTTCATCAACCTAGCCAATCCCAACATGCGCACAGAGTAATCCCTTGCTAAGCTTGAAATTGGCCTCCCTATGGGACAAATTGACTAATGTTTCGATCTCAAGGAGATCACAAGAAGCTGTTTTGTCTATCAGCTATAGAAGAGGTAAAGGAACCAAATGAAACTATAATCTGAATTTCATAGTGTGTATATGAATACAATTAGTTCTTAAATTTAAATAAGCTGAGATTGGGTAGTTCAGAGTCTACTTGTGAGGAAATCAAGTCAAGGCTTCACTTCAAAGCCTAGCTTATTTGATGGGTGATGATCTTGCTATCACATTGTGACAACCTCTCACCAGAAGTTTGTTTGACAAACCCTAACAATCCCATACGTACCAATTTTTGAGAAAAATGCAAAAAGTACGTCACTTGGATTGATTTACAAATTATAAACATCTAAACCACCGTGCATGAAAATTTGCACCTTCATCCTTGCTATACTACCACCTTTTTAAACAAAATCTCAGTGGTATTTGACTATGACCTTCCATTTTATCTTTGGTAGTGGGCCTTTCCAATTGCTACTTATCATGGATGAGAATATTTTTTTTTTTAGGCATCTTTAATTAGGCATAGTTGTGGTAAACCATTGCTGAGTAAGTCTTCACCTACAAGGGTTCTTAGAATTGCAAAATGAGAATTACATCCCTTGCTGAACTGCTTCCCTATTGTTTATATAGTGACTAAGCCGTGCCACTCTCTTGCATATGTTCATCAGATAAAATGTCTTCCCAAGACTTATGTTTAGGGTAAATTTCATGCACCCTTTTCACCAGGTTGACTAATAACATCATCTGAACCTGATGATCACAAATACTTGAGGCAATAAAAAGCATTGGAGGCATTCTTTTTAAATGACTCTTGTACTTTTCAGCTACAATCAAACAAACAATGAAAATTCGGGGGAAAAAAAAAATTACATCATTTGAACATAATTTATTTGCAAAGTTGACTTGACTGTTATTTTGACAGACACTACTAGTTTTATAGGGAATAAATCAAACATAGGTCCGGGTTGGCTGAGGCATCCATCACAGGAATTGGAGGTCTCAGGTTCAATTTCTCCTGGAATTACCTGATGCGCATCATTTAGTGATTACATGGATCCATAAGGATTAATCTCACTTCAAGAATCGTCAGGAGGGGCACCTTGGTGTAACAAAATAGAAAGCAGTTTACAGCAAACAACATTATGTTCCCTGAGCAAGGAATCCATCTAAAGCAATAACTGAATGCAATATTCCTGTTTGAGAATATGCCACTTGACAAAATGTTGAATCCTATGCTTAAACTTGGAAATCACTCATGATGCTTACTCAACTAGCACTTTGGAATATAAAACAAAAGTACCACACAGTGGTAGAATAAGACTTTACTTTAACAATACCACAAAGTGGTAAAATAATTTATTAAAAAAAGGCCACTGTATTGTTTAACCTCTTTTTACCCCATTACCTTTTCCACAAGTTGTCAGACAAATTTAAGAAGTTGAATGTGAAAGCACCATAATGTTCACCCCTGAATCCCTCCCAAAAAAACAACCTCTGTAGCTTGTTAAATTATTTTTTTTTGGAAATTGACACAAACTTAAGATCAGGGAATCCATCAGTCGAAATTCTCACGTGTCAATTTATTGTAGATAGTAATTACAAAACAACATTGACCCGAATTCTGTCAACAAGGAAAAGCCAAACACCATCATCAAGATGAATTAATCACTAGCAACTGACAATCTTATATAACATTTTTGATATAACATAGTGGCTTTGATGAATTAATCATTTATTTCACCCGGGTTTTGTACTACATTCTTGTGGGTGAGAGGGTTTTTGTTTTCCCTGTTGATCCAATTAGATTCGAGGCCAAACGGTCATGAAAACAAACAACACAAAATTCATGAAGACAAACAACAAAAATATCTCTGACCTTATTCCCAATGCCTCAAAAATTCACTGGAAACAATTGGAGCTTTTTTTAGGAGACAATTCACCAAACATCACACATGTTCATCAAAACCCAACATTAAAATCAACAACCAAAAAAAAAAAAAAAAAACATTAGAGAGCCAAAACATACGATTTCCTGAGAACCCATCAAGAATTCAAACTCATATAGCTAAATCACACATGAAAAAACACATATAATCAAGCACAAAGACATGAATTCTGATAAATCAATCAAGTGTCAATCAAATTGAGAATTGATTGTATGAAGAGGAAATTAACCTTCGTAAGAACACTTCTTGAGCATCTTTTCAAGGATTCTAAGCCATGCTAAATCGTCATCGACAACGAGAACACGAAGACCAGCAGGGAAAGCATCGATTCGAGAGGAGGAAGAAGAAGAAAAACAGGTCTCCATGAAGGAGACAGAGAGCTGGAAAAACAGATCCGATGGTTCAGATTCAAGCAAAAACGACAACACTTGAACTAGGGCATATACAGAATTTATCTATAAATATGTATAGATTAAAAGAAACCATTTTTGTTGTCAGTGATCTTAGTGAGAGTGAGTTAGAGAGAGAGTTGAGAGTTCAAAAATGAGTGAGTTGGGTTTTAAGCGCATAATAGAACAACGAATATTGGCGCCGGCACTGGATGGTAGTTAATGGTCCCCTACTGTGCACGTTAGCATTTTCCCTTATTTTCAGATTAATTATTTTTTTACTTATTTTATTTATTAAGAAAAAAGAAAAAAAAAATGTTAGTATGTATTACCGATTTTATTTTATTACTTTTATGTGAATTGTTGAGGATGGTATCAGTTATTTGTGAAACCGTAGATTGAAGGCGTCTCATTTTTAGATGTATTTGGATAATATTTTTTATGAGCAATTAAATTAGTGGTGTTTTAAGAAGATGGTAAAAAGATGATTTTTTGATTTTTTTGACAAAAAATTGAACTATTTTGGATAAAAAAATTGACTTTTTTGACTATAAAAAGTTAAAAAGTTAAAAAATTGATTTTTTACCATTGTTCCCAAACGACCCTTTAGTAAGCGGTTTGAAGGCGAAGATAATGGAGATTACAGGTTATAGAGAATTGCTATATTTTGTATATGGCCCCTCTCCATATTTATAATTTACATCTTTTAGAAGATATTCATAATGTGAAGGAGGACAATTATGTTAAGCATTGATCAATAAGAATTTTAGATAAGGGACAACCCTAGCCTCCTTCACTTGCCTCTATTTTACTACAAGAAAGCGTGAATCACAAGGGAGTTAGTTTCAAGTTATTTGATTTGTCAACTCCGCTACGTAGTTCGAAATATTAAAGGTTCGAATGGCTCGAAATATCAAGGGCTCGAATGGCTCGAAATCTCAAAACGACGTTATTTTTGGGTTTTTTTTATTCTCTTACCGGTAAGATAATATTTTTCGTACCATTCGAATCATTCGAGCTCTACGCATTCGAGCTACGGATCATTTTCGTTGATTTGTTTTGAAAACTTTCAAGACTTTCAAGTTAACTTGAAAGTCATTAAGGCCTCGTTTGATAACAAATTATTTTAGCCTTCGTTTGGGAAGTGGGTTAGTTTTTCTGATTTTTTTGGTTATTTTAGCCTGGACTAAAAAGCTTGGTTTGAGAAGAATTTTTTGACTTTTTTGATTTTTTTTGTGAGAGAAGAATATAATGATTATGGGTTGGATGTGATATTTTGTTTGTTGTGGCTAAAATAGCCTATTTTGTCTTTTGTGATTAAAATAGCCCTAAACTTTCTAGCCAAACTGAGCCTTAGTAACTTATTAATATTTTACAAAAAAAAGTATAAAAAAAATAATGTGATAATTTATAGTGATTTTTTTTATTAAAATATATAATTATCAGCCGAAAGCTAAGTCAAAGAAGTTGATTAGTGGCCAACTGAGCATTGGCAATGGATGAACTCTGATCCAATTGTTCGGCCAGTGAATTGGGCCAACCCATTCAAACCATGTCACACCTAAGCCTACTGGTGGGGCTTTATTTTTTGGTGTGTATATGTCACTTGCGATTAATTTTTTTTTTCTACAAACAATTATTAAAAATAATAAAGATGAATAATATTTTATGAAATGTGAAAAAATTTAATAATATATAGCATTTCTCAAGAAGAAAACATTAAAGAAAAATCTTACTTTGAATGAATAGATAAATAAAAATAAAAAACGAGAGAAAAATCTAACTTTAACATGATGATGGAGAATAAGGCCTCCGTTGGCTTAAGGTTTTTTTTAGTTATTTTAGTCATAAAAAGATAAAATAGACTAAAAAGTTAATAAGACAAAATGTCATATCCAAAATATAACCATTTCAATTTTTTTTATAAAAATTAAAAAAATCAAAAAGTCTATCTCAAACAAGATTTTTAACTCTAGTCTAATAGTCAAAAGTCAACTCACATCACAAACAAAAACTAATTGATGAGTAATTATGAGAATTTAAGGTAGAATGTAACTTAACATGAATGACTTTGGAATCTTAATGGGGTGGAAGAATGTTTTAACAAAAGGGTCAGGCTTTGGTCCAGTCTATCATCGGACTGGATCGTGCTGTTGGGTTCGTGGAGGTCCATCACGGGTCCCGTTTTGAAAATATAAACTGTTGAATGTGTAGAACCCTTCGAGTACTATATGCCTGTAAAAAATCACGTTAATCGGATACTGATAACTATGTGATCAAAACAGTTTTTTGTCAACCGTTAATTTATTCACCGTCCATTTTTTTTAATACAAAACTGATTTGATCACATAGCTATCGATATCCGATCAACGTGATTTTTTACAAGCATATAGTACTTGAAGAGTTCTACACATTGAACGGTTCAAATTTTCAAAACGGGACCCGTGGTGGGCCTCCACGGGCCCAACAACACGGTCCAGTCCGATGGTGGACTGGACCAAAGCCAGACCCTTAACAAAAATATTTTGAAACTCTAATTTGTGATTTTTAATAGGTTTATGTTATGTTTTAGCTTTATTATTATTATTTTTTTTAACTTTCCACCTCACTAGAACTCAATTAAAATTCTAATTTTAAAAAGATATATCATTGTTGATGTTTTAATGCTATAATACTTTTATTGGCCTATGAAAAAATCGACAATGACACATTTTTTGAGAGAAGAGACAAATGATGATTTTGTTCCCAACATTTCATTTCATTGCTTTATATGATGAGTTTTGTGTGAGTGATTTTCCGATCACACTGCCCAACTCAGTAATCAGCTGGAGAGTACTGGCAGAATAGATGTCACTTGGCTGACCTGCAACAGAAAGAGAAGATTCCGACAGTGGTTCGTCCACCCGGGGGTACTCCGACAATCAAGTCAGTATATCTCTCAAAGATAATCAATAGTGCTAAACTCACTGTTTAGAATATAAATTACGTACCTTAGACCCACGGGGGTGTCTCTCTTTTATAGTTAACTCAATCCTTATCCCAACAGAAGCCTAGCTTCAATGAACTCTTGCTTAGTGCTTAACTTGGACTCTCCAAGAGATAAAGATAAACTCCCTAAGAGTTTTATCCTTATCCATTCTAAAGTCCTTCCTCATTCTAGGACTCTTGTCCCTTATCCGCTTATCTCGGATTCCGATATCTTCGGAGATAACCTCGGCCTTGCCGAGATCACCTCGGCGTCATGTCCTGGACACGTGGCACCTCGGCTGACACGTCGGCATCACTTTGGCCACGTGTTAAGACTCATAAAATATATACCCACAACTTTCCCCTAGGTTCTATTACCTCGGCATCTTGAGGTGATGGAACCTATATCGGTACTTCCTGTCAGTACATCGGTGTAAGCCGAGATCATCATCATAAGCCGATATGTCTTTTTAAAGATTAAGAACCCCAAGGGCTTCTTCTCGCGTATGAGCTGTTATAACAACTCAATCGTTTAAGCCACGTGCCTTCCCCTCGCTGGATCATACTTGTTACGCGCTTGTAAGTCGTCTCGCGCCTTCATGCACCACCTGACGTATTAGTTGTTCTAGGCGCATTAATTGCCTTGTTTTTGCCGCTGTTTCAAGTTTTTTGACAAAACCTGTTTTCCCCCTTTTGTCTTTTCACTTTTCATCATCTTTTTTCAAACTTTTTCTCTCTCTTGCTTTCTCTCATCCTCTATTGTTCTAAGCTCTGAAGCTCTGCCGCCACCGCTGTTTCACTTCTTCCGTGCGAAGTTTTGGCCAACTTGTTCCATTGCCGCCGTTCTTCTGACTTCGGCGATCTCAAGCATCGGCTTCTTTTCTCTGGTAAGTCACTACTCCTTCTGGTTTTAATTCTTGTTGTGCTCTAAGAAATTATGTTTCATCACTAGTCGCCATTGTTGTTTTACTAAAAATTTTTAATTGATGAATCTTGTATCTGAACATGTTTATGTCACAACCTTGCTTTTTGCCCATGTCTTGAGTATACGCACTGTTCACAACTTTTTTGCACTTTTGCCACTGTTCTTGACTTCATTCCCTTTGTTCTTGCGATGTTCTTGATAGTCCATCTTTGTTCTTGAATCTGAATTGTATTCTTGTTTCTGTTTGCCATGTTTTTCCAGATTCTCATCTTCAATCCTTGCGTTAATAGATCTAGGTTTGGGATTTGCTTGTAGAACCCTCGATTTTTTAGAAAAACTGAAACTATTCCCACACATTCTGTGTATCTTCCATCTTTAGCCGAGGTCCATAAAAAACCCTTTAGAGATATCCCTTTTAAAATCCAACCTTTTCAGTTTAAGCCGATATCATGGGTATGTGGAAACATAGAGTAGACACCCCGACAAAATTGGAATACTTTAGGCGAGAGTTTTCCATTCTTGTCGACGTCCATCTGAGGTTGGCTGGGGATGATTATCATGCCCGATGTAAACCTCATGCCTTTCCCAGCAGTAGCGTTTATTGAGTGTGGACTTAGGTTTTCACCTGATCCTTTCTTCCGTGAAATCCTCCACTTCTATAGGTTGAAACCAATGCAACTTGCAATCAATTCGTACCGAGTTATTAATGGTACCATAGCTTTAGCCAAACAAGAGAATGCTAGGATTACTCTTGCCGACTTCCAGTTCTGTTATACCATGTGTCGCCTGAAATCAGAAAAAGGCCACATCTATTACCTTAAGCCGAGGTCCATGGAATACAAAATTGTTGCAGACCTCCCTGACTCTAACAAGGGAGTGGGTGATGATTACTTCATCGTGT